TGGCATTAGTGTATCAGTGTTGTGTAATCACCATCTCTGTCTAGTCTGGTTTCATCCCCTCAAAAGGAACCCCACTACCCACGATTCTGTCCTTCTTCTCCTTCACCCCAGCCTCTATCAATCCCAGTTCTTTCTGTATCTACAGACTTACCTGTTTTATCCACGTTGTAGCAGATGTCAGTATTTTCTTTTTACTGTTGAAAACTATTCCATTGTATGGAGAGACCACATTTTGTTTATGTACTCATCTGTTGGTGGGCATTTGAGTCATTTTTACCTTTTCGCTGTTGTAAATCGTGCTGCCACAAACATTCGTGTACAAGTATCTGTTTGAGTCCATTTTCATTTCTGCTGCGTATGTATACCCGACCCAGGAGTTGCTGGGTCTTTGGTTATTGTTCCATTTAACTTTCTGAGGAGCTGCCAGACTGTTTCCACAGCAGCTGTACCATTTACATTCCCATCTGTAATGGACAGAGGCTCCAGTCTGTCCACATCCTTGCCAATGCTGGTTGTTTATTAAAAATCACAGCCATCCTGTGTGACGTAGTATCTCATTGTGGTTTTCACATGCATTTTTTTTAAATTTTTTAAAAATTTATTTATTTATGATGTCAGAGAGAGAGAGAGAGAGAGAGAGAGAGGCAGAGACACAGGCAGAGGGAGAAGCAGGCTCCATGCACCGGGAGCCCGACGTGGGACTCGATCCCGGGTCTCCAGGATCGCGCCCTGGGCCAAAGGCAGGCGCCAAACCGCTGCGCCACCCAGGGATCCCTTCACATGCATTTTATAGTGACTAAGGATGTTGAGTCCCCTTTCTTGTACTTTTTGGCCACTTCTATGTTGTCTTTGGAGAAATGGCTGATGAGCCCCCTTTTTTTTTTAAATTTTTATTTATTTATGATAGTCACACAGAGAGAGGGAGAGAGAGAGAGGCAGAGACACAGGCGGAGGGAGAAGCAGGCTCCATGCACCGGGAGCCCGACGTGTGACTTGATCCCGGGTCTCCAGGATCGCGCCCTGGGCCAAAGGCAGGCGCCAAACCGCTGCGCCACCCAGGGATCCCTGATGAGCCCTTTTGAATTGGGGTTGGTCTTTTTTGCTGCTCAGCTGTAAGAGTTCCCTGTATATCTTGGTTACTAGACTCTTACCAGTTATATAACATTTTCTCCCACTCTGTGGGCTTTTTACTTTACTGATAATGGCCTTAGACGCACAAAACTTTTAAGTTTTGTTGTGTCCAATTTATTTTTATTTTAAGATTTTATTTATTGAGAGAGATAGATAGATAGATAGATAGATAGATAGATAGAGAGAGAGAGAGAGGCAGAGACACAGGCGGAGGGAGAAGCAGGCTCCATGCAGGGAGTCCGACGTGGGACTCGATCCCGGGTCTCCAGGATCACACCCCGGGCTGCAGGCGGCACCAAACCGCTGCACCACCAGGGCTGCCCATGTTGTGTCCAATTTATCTGGTTTTCCTTTTGTTGCTCCTGCTGCTGGTGTCCTAAGAATCCATTTGTTAGGTCCATGTTTCTGGGACTTTTAATAGTTTCAGCTCTTTCTTTTTTTTTAATTTTTTATTTATTTATGATAGTCACAGAGAGAGAGAGAGAGAGAGAGAGGCAGAGACACAGGCAGAGGGAGAAGCAGGCTCCATGAACCGGGAGCCCGATGTGGGATTCGATCCCGGGTCTCCAGGATCGCGCCCTGGGCCAAAGGCAGGCGCCAAACCCCTGCGCCACCCAGGGATCCCAGTTTCAGCTCTTCCATCCATTTTGAATTAATTTTTGAATATGGTGTGAGGCAAGGGGCCATCTCCATTCTTTAGTGCTTAGATCCTGCTTTCCCAGCACCATTTTGCCACTGAATGGTCTTGGCATCCTTGTCAATCTTTTGACCATATCTGTGAGGGTTTATTAGGTTTCCATTCTATTCCTCTGGTCCATGTTATGTTATTATGCCAGGACCACACTGTTTTGATGACTATAGCTTTGTAGTAAGTTTTCAAATCAGAAGATGTGAATCCTTTTTCTTTTTTCTTTTTTAAAGATTTTATTTATTTGACGGAGAGAGAGAGAGAGAGTACAAGCCAGGGGGAGAAGCAGAGGGAGAGAGAGCAGCAGTCTCCCCACTGAATAGGGAGCCCAACGTGGGGCTCGATCCCAGGACCCCAGGATCATGACCTGAGCTGAAGGCAGACGCTCAACTGACTAAGTCATCCAGGCGCCCCTATCCTCTTTCTTCTATAAGATTGTTGTTTGGGGTGCTTTGCAATTCCATGTGAATTTGAGTGTTGGCTTTTCCATTTCTACAGGCAAAGGCTATTGGAATTTTGATAGAGATTTCATTGAATCCGTAGACTGCTTTGGGTAGTACTGTCATCTTAAGACTGTTGTCACCCAGTTTACAGATGTGGATATCTGCCTTTCCACCGATAGAGGTCTCCTTTAGAATTTTCCCAGCGGTGTTACATAGTTTTTAGTGTATAGGTCTTTCATCTCCTTGGTTAAGTATTTTAATAGATATTTTTTTTGGATGCCATTGTAAATGAAATTGTTTCCTTAGTTTCTTTTTCAGATTGCTCATTGCTGGTGTATAGAAGCATATCTGATTTTTTTGTGTTGATTCTGTACCCTGAAACTTTGGTGAGTTCATTTATTAGCTCTAGTGGGTGTTTTTCATTTTGTTTTGTTGGATCACTGGAATTGTCTATCTATAGGATCACATCACTTCTCAATAGAGGTCTTCTAACTTAAAGCCTTTTATTTTTTTGACTAATTCCTCTGGGCTGGAACTTCAGTAAGTGGTATTGATGACAATGGGCATCCTCCACTTATTTCAGATCTTTGGGGGAAGGTTTTCACTCTTTCACTGTCGAGTGTGATGTCGGCTGTGGGTTTTTGCTAACTACCTTTTTATGTTAAGGAAGTTTTCTGAGTGGCTCTTCTCATGAAAGGTTGTTGGACTTTGTTAAATGCTTTTCCCATATAGTTGAGAGGACTGTGTGCTGTCCCTGACATTCCACCCTCCCCCTGCCTGTAGCATTCTGTTGATGTGATATACTGCAATGACTGATTTTTTAAAAGCAGTTCCATTTAATCATGGCATATAATTCTCATATCATGCAGTTATTTTGCTAGTATTTTGTTGAGGATTTTTGCTTATGGATGCAAAATTCATAAGGGATATTGGGGTCTTTGACTTTGTTTTTAGTGTAAAGCTGGCCTTGTGAGATGAGTTAGAATTGTTCTCTTTTCTAATTTTTTGAAAGTTTGGGAAGGATTGGTGTTAATTCTCTTTTAAACTCTTGACCGAGTGAAGCCATCTTGTCCAGTATTTTTTTTTTTTAAATTGGGAGGTTTTTGATTACTGATGCAGTCTCTTTACCTGTTACAGATCTTTTACAATTTTCTATTTCTTTGTGTGTCACTTTTGGTAGTTTGTATGTTTCTAGGATTTTGTCCATTTCTTTGATGTGATCTAATTTTTTGGCATGCTATTGCTCATAGTACTCTTGTAATCCTTTTTATTCCATAAAAAGTAATGCCTCCACTTTATTATGACTTTAGTTATTTGCATTTTCTTTCTCTGTCAGTCAAGCTAGAGGCTTGTTAGTTTCATCGATTATGTCAGGAGTTTAAAGGTTGACTGGCTGATAGGTCAGCTCCACTTTACTCAGTGGCTTTGAAACCGCATCCCTGAGAGTGAAAGCATCTTTATACTGTGTGGATACAGGGCAGAGAGGTCAGCATGGGGAATGGACCCAGGGAACTTCTCAGTAGAGAGGGACAAGCAGCTGCCTCAGGGCTGGAGAGGCTGTCCTTCCCAGGAGACTGTTTGCTTCTAAAAGGGATGTCAATCCTCAGGGCACGTGGGGGTGGCAAATGCATGCAATAAAACTGAAGATAAACAAAAGGTAGGCCCAAATTCGTTCATCTGGAAATTAAAATCCCCACCTCTGTTTTGATGAGCTAAAGGGGAAATCAACATTTCTAGAATTCACAGGCAAGGATCATAGCGTCTGGCAGAGTGTAGGCGCAGCTGGAGCTCTTCAGCTGCATTCCTTAGAGATCAGGAGGAGGAAGAGAAAGAAATGTAAGTTTTCAGGCCAAGATGGTAAAGAGCTCCACCTGGACCGTGGAGGAAGGAAGCATGTGCGTCTGTGAGCTGCGAACAGGAAAGCTGCCTGGAAAACCCAGTGTCGGTGCTTTGAGATTGACAAGGAGAGAAGAAAGAAAAGCCCAGAGTAAGCATCAGGAATGGAAAGAGCCATTGCCCCAGAGACGGGGAGAGTTCTGGAAGTTACGGGAACATGCGGTGGAGGGCGGGAGTAGTCCCACCTGCGCCACTTGTAGCAACCTGTAACATTCCTGAATTCCTGAATTCACCCCTGGGACTATGGGGCACAGGGCCGTCCCGGGGGCCCCAGGGGGAGGGGGGCACAGCAGCTGCCCTGCGGGTCTCTGATCTGAGTGAGGACCCTCTCAGCAAACGAGAAGATGCCCATGCCCCACGGTCCAGCCAAGGCTGGCACATGTGGGCTGTGCCCCCGCCGTTGGGTTCAGGAGCTGAGGGCAGCATTGCCACCATGTCGACTTAAGCCTGACCCGCCTGGCTTCTGCCACAGGTTTCTGGCCGCCTGGGAGGACCTCACCCAGCAGCCCCTGCTCCCCAGGGAGAGGACTCGGTGGGGCAGAGCGAGGAGGGGTGAATGGCCCCGGCCGCCTGGACACAGCCATGCAGCGTCCCCAGCCCCAGAGGGCCGCGGGAGGGGGGCTGACATCCTGTATCCCTGCATCCCCAGCTCCTGAAGTGTCTCCCGTGTCAAACAGGAAACGGCAGGTGCCGAGAGAGGGCAGTGGCGGGCAGGGCAGATGTGGAGTTCGGGCCCTTCTTCAGGAGGCGTTTCACGCAGGCCTGTGTTGGTGCTGCGGGCCCTGAGGGGGTGTGGGCTTGTGGGTGTCGGCGCAGCAGGTGCCGGAGGGGGGACATGGTGACCCCGGCGTGTGCTCGGTGAGGCAGGGGAGCCACAGAGGGCTTTGGGTGGAGGAGGGATGCAGTCTCAGGAGGCCGCGGGCCTCGGGGTTGGCTCTGAAGCTGTCTGCAGACTCGTGGGTGGAGGCTGTGGGAGGAGATCTGGGGGGGTCTTCGGTCAGAGGGCCCAGTGCCTGGACCTGGGGTCCCCTGAAGTGTCCCCATGTGCCCCAAGGCCTGAGCATTGTGTGGCTCTCAAGGATCGTGGGGGGCCTGGGGGGCACAGCTGGCCCAGGGAGGAGCCACCGGGCAGGGGTTCTGGGTACAGCAGGAGGGGTGGCAGGGCCCTGCTGTGGTCCTGGGGGGTGGCACCCAAGCCAAGGCACCGGCTTCTTCGGTCCTCGGGGCCCCCACCCGTTGGCAGGACTCCTAGGACAGCCCCCAGGGCAGGGCTGCCCAGGGCACAGCAGGCCGGTGGTCAACTCCATGCGGCTGCCGCGGGCAGACTTGCTGGCTCCAGGCTCTGCTCTGAGGCCGGGTCTGTGCTGACAGACACAGGGAGCCTGTTTGCCTGCGAGCAGGAACACGGCCCCTCTGTCGGCACCTGGACCGCTGGCCCCACACAGACCCGCACTGTGCCCACCTCGTTCCCGCCGGGACCCTCCCTGCTGCAGCCCGGCCCTCTGGACGGTGTGGGGGGAGGGAGGGGGTGCCTGCTGCTGCCCGGCTGAGAAGGGGGGACTGTCCAGGGCCGGGGGGGGGCTGTGCCACCCAGTGCTTGGCTGTTGCTTCAGCAGAGAGACCTCTCCCTGGGCGGGAGTTGTTTGCTCCCCACGAAGGTCAGGCGGTAGGGCCCTGGGGCCACCCCAGCTCACAGGGCAGAGGCCTCCAGGCAAGGGTAGTTAGCTTCACTCGTGCCCGCGGGGCCTCGGAATGGCCGCTGTGGGCACCCCGGCCCTGGCTGTGCCCCGGGGTTTGAGGCTGGGGGGGCCGGGGCCGCAGAGCAGGGGAGGAGCCCTGCCCAGGCAGGAACAAAGGGCTTCTGTGCCCGCTTCTGGGCGCCGGGCCTCGGGGCGGCATGAAGGTCCTGAGGCGGCTGCGGGCAGGGAGGAGGGCGGGGCCCGCCCGACGTGGGGGCACCAGCAGGGACTGGCAGCTTCCTCGTAGCCGTGCCAGGCACACAGGTCTTTAGCTGCCCCTGGTGCCTGGGGCTGCCTGGAGAGGCCAGGAGAGTTGCTCCCAGGGACCCGCCGCCCCCCAGGGCGCTTCCAGGACAGTGGGCGGCGCTGCCCGGCGCACGAGACTCCACTCACGCGGCCAGGCCGGGCTTTATTCGTCGGTGCCCGGGCGGCTCTAGTCCACATCCACGGCCGGGTGCGGCCACTCCCGGGAGCGGAAGTAGTCCTCCAGGTCCCGGAGGCTGACGGGGGGGAAGTAGGGGCCGATCCTCTTCCGGAGCCACCACTTGCCTGCGGCGGCGTGTGAGCTCCCAGGGCGGCTGAACTTGTACCTGTAGTGCTCTCCCCGCAGCCACCTGCAAGGGAGACCCCTCGTCGGGCGGCCCGCCCTCTGCCTGTCGAGCTGCCGCTCCTCAGAGGGTGACGCTGCCCGGGGAAGCCCCGGCCCCATCGCTGCCACGGCTGCCACGGGGACTGTGGGGGCTCCGGGGACGCTTGGGAAAGGGCCAGAGACTCGGCTCTACAGCCCGAAGGCAGCAAAGGGCACGCTTGGCCTTCTGGAGGCCCCTCCCCTCGGTGCAGGCCAGCAGGGCGCAAGAGAGGGGCTGGTCCAGAGCCTGGGGACCTTACCCCCGGGCACGTTTGCAGTGGCTCCGAGCAGGGCCCAGGGTGCCCCGGCCCCCGGCGCAGGTACCTGATCCGTCCAGGCCCTGAAAGGCCCCCGAGGCAGCAGTGGGCAGGGGTCCCGTCCAAGAGGCAAGTCCTACCTGGGGGGCGCCCTGCCCTCGAAAGGGTTGATGGCCAGTAGGGACAGAGCTGAGGCATCGTTGGCCAAGAGCTTGCCTGCCAGGTGGATGATCCACTCGTTGTGCTCGTAGGTCTGGGGGTGAGAGGAGGGGTGCAGGCTCTAGGCGCGCAGCCCAGTGCTAGGGGCCCCAGGATGAGCCCCCGCCTGGCCCTGGAGCTCTGGCTCCCTCCTGGTCACGCAGGTGCGGTCGGGGCCAGCCTCTCCCAAATGCTGGGCCCACACTCCCTGCCTGCTCCCGCCCATCAGCCCGCTGTCTAGACAGTTCATCTGGGGGCCGGGCTCCCAGGGCACCGTGCTGTTCCCGTGTGGGGACATGCTGGCCTCTCGGTGCTGTCGCCTGCCAGCCCTGGGGGCTTGTGGGAGGCATGGTCTTCCTGAGGCTGTGTCTCTCCAGGCAGGTGGGGCAGTGACAGCCTGAGCAGGTGAGCGGGAGGACGAGGGGCCCCCAGGCCTGCTCTGGCACAAGCACGCGCCTGCGGACGTCCACAGTCCTGCTGTTGGCCACGCCGGTCCTGTCACTGCTGGAAGGGCTCGGGGAGCTGCAGACCCTGCTACGAGGGTGTCCGGCAGTGTGGGGGTCCCACCTGTGGGCCCATGGCCGTCCAGATGCAGAGGCAGAGAACACAAAGGGGAACACCCAGGAGGGAGACATGGCCCGGGGGTTGGGTTCCGTCCTGTGCGCTGTGCCCCGCCTGCCGCTCTGGGGTGCGGTGCCGGAGGTGAAGATCCCCCGCCAGTGCCCTGACACTGGCCCCACCTTCCTCTCCCAGGTCAGCCAGGCCTGGGGAGGGCACGGGAGGCAGTGACCTCATGCCCACCAGCCGGGCCGCGGGCGTCCCCGCCGAGGGCACTGCGGTCTCGGGAGCACAGCGGGAGGGGTGGGGCAGGGGAGGCCCCACCTGGAAGGCCGCGAACCACATGAGCCAGTCCAGGCGGTAGTGGTAGGGGGAGATGAGGCACGGCCGCTGCCCTGGGTCGCCCGGCTTGCACTTAAACTCGTAGTCCTCCCACACGGCATCGGGTGAGCTGGCGTTGGGGGCGGCCGTGCCCTGTAGGATGACCTCCGTTCGCTCCTTGGTGATGCTGTGGGGAGACCAAGGCAGGGAGCTGCAGGCACATGAAGGCGGCCGCTGTGCGTCCACACCCTGGCTTCCTTGCTGAGCGGATCACGGTAAGGGGCTGCCCCGGAGGCGGGGGTGGCTCTCCCTCAGGGCCTGGGGTCCCACATGCACACAGCAGACAGGGCGAGGGCAGGCTGCCCCTGTACCTTCCAAAGGCGCCGTACGTGTTGACGATCCTCAGAGGATTGAAGGAGGTGTTCATGATCTGGGTGGGACTCAGCAGGTTGAGGACCACGGGGACACTGAGCCAGGCCACCAGGGCAGCCAGCGCCAGGTGCACTGCCCGCCGTACCATGCAGCCTGGCAGGGGCAGAGGGGGGCGGTGGGGTGAGCTGCGTGCTCAGGCCTGGACCCTCGGCAGGGATGACCCCCTGGGGTTCACAGGAGCCCAGGGAGGGGCCCCGCCCACAGCCCTTGTTTCCAGGCCAGAACTCGCTAATGGGTGGGCGGTCCTGGTCCTGGGGAGAAGAGACTTCTGTCCCCGCCTGTGGTGTCCACTCACCGCCTGTGGTGTCCACTCACCGTATCTCAGGGGGGTTGGGGCCCCTCGGGCAGCCTCCTCCTGCATCTTCAGGACTCGGTACTTCAGGCCACCAGACCCAGAGGGAAACAAGAACCCCAGAGTTGCATCATCGAAACAGGCCACGCTGGGCACCATGGTCAGCCAGTTGAGGAAGCTCAGGTTCCCGCTGATGATAAGGATCACCTGCAGGGGATGGAGCAGGGCCTGAGCCCAGGCCGATGGAGCCCGGGCACCCCCCCTCGGCCCCCCACGGCAGACTGTGGAGCCTGGAGTTGAGCCCTTAGAGCAGCACGCGCAGTGCCCCGGCCGACTGTTGGCACCGAGGGCCAGGCCCCTGTCCACCGCAGGCTGCATGCCCGTGTCCCCGCCGGCGGGCCCCAAGGGTGTCCACCCCTCAGCTGATCTTGAGGCGGGTTCTTGCTCGAGCCTGGAGTGGGACCTATGGACACCCGGGTTCTGGCCTCTGAGGCTGCTCCCTGCCTGCCCACAGGGCTGTGAGCTGGCGGGCTGTGCCGCTGTGCTCCGCTGACCGTCACCGGGTTCGGGTGTGGGCAGCCCTGGGGAACCGTGCTCGAGGCGGTGGTGGCGGGAGGAGGACGAGGCTCTGCTGCCCGGGTCTGGCTGGCCTGTCTTCCACAGCTCGCACCCCAGACCCGTCCACCGTGACCACACAGGAGGCCGGCCTCCCGCACTCTGGGCACCGGGAGGTGGGGCTGCACAGGGTCTGGGGCGACACAGGGCCTGGGAGTCCAGATGGGCCTGCCCGTGTCCCGGTTCCACTGGGCTTGTCTACGGACTTGGCACCAGCTGGACGGTGGCAGTTCTCCCGTAAGGCTCGCTCCTGAAAGCGACTTAGCGTCTTGGTCGTAAGACTGGAGTCACAAAGCCTCAGAGCGGGTGGGGTGCCGACAGCTTGGGGGTCTCCTGCGCCCCCCACCCATTTTCCCGCGAGCTGTCGGCCGTCAGGGGCTGCGTCCTGGAGCTGCCGCCAGCCAGGCCTTTGGGGAACTTTGTCCGGGCAGCTGCACGTCTTGTAAGGTACTACAGTGACTTAAAAATGACGTCTTTGGCCTGATTATGCCCCGGCCGTTGGGTGCTGGAGGGGGAGCAGAGGGGAGGCCACGGCGCCCAGGCCCTGTGCAGGCACCGGCTCCGATGCAGCCGGCCCAGTGAGCGTGGGGCGGAGGCCCCCATGAGGCGAGACGCCCTGGGGTGCAGCTCCTGGGGGATCGGGTGCCACGGGGCGGCAGGGACTCGGGAGCTTGGCGGGAGTGGGCAGGCGGCCTGCAGTCCTGGCAAATCTGCCGCCTTTCTCGTCAGGTTTTGTTGAAACAAACAATAAGATACATGCCGCCCCCCCCCCCCCCCCAGCTTACAGTTCAGTGGCTTTTGACAAATGTTGACCTTCGTGCAAATCACCATAAAGCCCATAAGGTTCCACCCTAGACAGTCCCCTTGGTGCCTGTGACCTGTGGATGGACCTCTGCCGCCCGACACCCTGCCTGTTCCCAAACGTGGTGGGCATGGAGCTCCGGCGCCTGGGGTCTCCAGCCTGGGGTTCCGTGAGCCAGCGCGCAGGTGTCCACGGCCGCACATCACCTGCCTGTGCGTGTGCCTGCGGGACGCTGCAGCGGTCTTGGTGCGCCTCGAGGGAGCCCTGCCAGCGGGTCCTCGGGTGCCTGCTGGGCCCGGCCACCCTTTCACACCCACGGGTTCCTTGCATTGTCTGTAGAGGGAGAAACGTGCTTTTCACGAAGTTATAAGTTACCGATTTTTAAGAGCTTCGCCCTGGTGCTGTGTGTCCTGAGACATTTGCACACCCGGGGTTCGGGGATGTTAGTGTCAGTGTCAGTCTGGTGTTACGTTCTGTGGAGGCGCTGCCTGAGTGGGAGTGGGGCTGAGGGCCCTTCCTCATGCGGCCTCCGCTGTGGGGCAGTAGCCGGCCCTGCCTGTGCCCAGGAGCGGCCCCAGGGGCGGCCCGGGGAGGCGGCTCCCGATGGTGCGGGAGTTGAAGCAGTTCCGGCGTTCACCCGCTGTTGTGTGTGGCCGCAGGGGAAGTGGAGGCCGCGGTGGGACCGGTGAGCTGGGCCGCGGCTGCAGGAGGAACTTTGAGAAAAAGTTTGAGAAAATCGCCCCAGAGGCGAGAGGAGCTGGAGTGCCTGTGCGCTTGTCACCAAATGACGTACCTCGCAACAGGCCTGACCCTCAGGAGCCGGCAGAGCAGGCGGCCTCCTGCTTGGCGACAGGCAGGTGTGGCAGCGGCCTGCCTGCGGGGTGTCGGAGTCTAACCGGCTGGCGCCCCGGCTCCCCCTTGGCCCTGGACGGCCCGACGACGCCGGGAGCTGGTCGGCCTCAGTTCTGTGCGCAGGCAACACAGCTGAGGCCCAGCCCCTTCACTCCCGAATTTTCATTACAGCTGGGTCCTGATCCTGGGAATCGGGAGGAATGCGAGGTCGCAGACGCCAACCTAATGAGGGTCCGGCAAGAGGAGCTGTGCTTTCGATGGCTCGTGTCAGTTTTATGGATTACGATGGCATTTTACGAGGTGTGACGTGAGATGCGTGGATTCATGGCTCTCCCAGGATTAATCTGGAAAACTAGTGTGCTTGGTCCTGAGCCCTCAATAGTGACTTCTCATTCTTCAGTGTTTGCAACGCCCCAGCCTCCCTGAGGGGCCCCGGGCTGTGGTTGGTCCCGGCTGGCAGGCTGCTCTGGGCATGCCGGGCTCTGCCCCGGAGGCTGCTGCACGCTGCGTCCCTGGCCCTCCTCCTCCACTGGCGGGGGCAGCCGCTGTCTCCCAGCGGCCCCGCTGCGCTGCTCGGCCCGTCTCTCCCACTGTGTCCCTGAAGCTTGGCTCAGCCGCCGTCTCCCAGGAGTCCAGGCCATCGGGCGGCTCTGTACCTCCTGATGACAGTGTGGCGCCGACTGGTGCTCCGTCGGGACCCCTTTCAGGACAAGCTGCTGCGCCGAGGGGCCGGGGGTCTTGCTGCAGCTCCCTCACTGCTCTGTAGCCCGACTGTAGCTGAGCCAGGGACCCTGCGCCCTTCCCCACAGCCCCCAGCGGGGTGCTTTCCTGAAGTCTGTTCTCAGTGCTGGGCCCACCCAGGCTGCCGGCTGCAGCACCCGCGTCGGCCCACGACGGCTGTGTCGGGGCCCACCCTCACCCCGACCGTCGTGCTGCTGGAAGAGCCAGCAGGGGCGCAGCCGGGGGCCAGCCTCTCCAGGTGTAACGAGCCCGACCTGTGCACGTACCGGGACACGGTGTCGCCCCTGGCTCCTCGCTGACACCCCCGCGGAAACCCAGGCCTGAAGCCGCTCCTCTGGAAGGACGCTCGCTGGCCGAGAACGTTCATTCTTTACGTCCTCCTTGGGGCGGGGCGGGGGGGGCAGCACAGTAAGAGGCACACCAGGCAAAGGTGGTTTGGTATTGTAGCGACGCACTGGTGCTTCGGAAGGCGGGCTTGAGGGAGGGGTGACAGACAGCAGTGCCAGGGGCTTCCCAAGCGACAGTACGGGAACTGCCCGGGGGAGGGGGCCCGGTAGGGCAGGAGGCTCACAGGGCTCCGGGGGTCTCTCGTATCCCGGGATGAATCAAGGGAGATGGCCTCAGCATTTCTACTGGAAGATGGAAAAGGCAGGGAAGCTGGTCTGCGGAGCCTGGAAGGCACGGATGTGGGGGGCAGGGCAGTCACATGGTTTCTGTGCAGGAGGAGGGGCCTGGCTCGGCCCTGGGAACTGAGCGCAGCCAGTGGCCTGGCGTCAGCCCACATGCCAGGCCTTCCCGAGTTCCATCTGCAAACACCTGGCAGGGAGGCCGGGACAGAGGCGGGCCCCAGATACCCCATCCAGGGGGTCCCATCTGCCTCCCTGGAACACGCCGGTCACACACTCGGCACCTTCCTTCCACTTCCACCGAATGGAGCCTGGCTGGTGAACTTGGGGGTTTGTCAAGACTCCGCCGCGGACCAGGGCTCCTTCATTCCCACAAAGCTGGGAAAGGCCATGGCTGTGCTGCAGGATCACTCAGTGACCCTGGGGACACTGTGCACGCAGAGTGCCGGCTTCTCAAGGCTGAAGGGCCCGACAGGAGGAAGCAGCACTGCAGCTAGACGGGGGGCAGACCCAGGCCAGCCCCTGCTCTCCCCGGAGGCATTCAGCAGCCCTCAGCCCAGGAAGCACCCCTGGGAGGGCAGCGCTTCGATGCCGGGGAGGTCGAGGCGGTTGGCTGGTGCTGCGCTAGGGAGGAAGCGTGTAGGCCGTAGCTGCGGGGTTGGCCTGGGTGCCCTCAAGTCTGCTGGCCACTGGGTCACGGGCCCTGGAAGCTCCCACAGGGTGGGGGTGGAGACCCAGGCGGAGGCCCCGAGGGACCCTCAAGTAGCTGAGCTGCTCGGCAGGGTGAGGGACACAGCTTCCAGACCCTCCCAGCAGCCCACGGGGCCGGTGTCCTGTCAAGATTTGCAGACAAGCAAGCCACAGCTGGAAGGGAGAAGGCTCATAGGAACAGAGTCAGGTATAGGAGAAAACTTGAAAGTACTAGATAAGGACATTAGGATAACTGCTGTGAATAAAATCCGGCATCTACAAGAAGATGTCATCGTAAACAAGAGAAATAAGAAAACTTTAACCACATGCACGTGCAGAGTTGGAAGAGGTCGCGTACGACATGGAGCAGTTGCCGCACTGACTTTGGACGTGACTCCGTAACAGCAAAGTCCACACGAGTGAGGGAGTGGAGCCCTAAGTGCTTTCTGAACCGATGCGCAGACCGAAGCTGGATGGGGTGCGGGATGCCTGAGGGCCCGCGTGCGTCCCAGAAGGGGGGTGGTGGCAGACAAAACAGGACACGCAACCCGATCACAGCAGCCTACGAAAACCCCACCAGGCGCACCAACCGACTGCACAACCGGTGGGAAAGAAGAACCACAGGCAGGTGGAGGACAGTCACTGGGCAAGCAGGGACGAGCCCCGGGGTCTCCCGCAGGGGCCCAGCGCACTCTTGGCTGAGAGGAGAACATCGCCGGCCCCAACACGTGCTGGAGAAAATGTCCCTGAAGGTGGTGGTCGAGGGAAGGACAGCAGTCCCTGGGGGGACAGGTCTGTTCCCAGGCGCCCACTCCGGAAGGCACATCTGCTCGTGAATAATCTGTTTTTAAAGATCTGTATTTATGAGAGCGAGAACAGTGCATGCGCAAGCAGGGGGGCACGGGTTTCGGGCTGGAGCCCGGGGATGCGGGGGTGCACACTTGGAGCCCTCATCAGGCGCAATGGCTGTGTCCCACTGGCCCCCTCCCCCATCCATCTGGATGGTAGTTATTTATTAAGAAAAAGGGAATTTGGTGCGGAATGCCTGGCCCCAGCGCGCTGAGGGGATGCTGTCTTGTCATTACTGTGCTGCTGTGGCCTCTCCTGAAGGGGGCCAAGCGCGTGGTCTCTGTCTTCACGGCCGTGGAGCGTGACTGGCCTGCGGGGCACCGTGCGGGCTGCCCGAGACCACACTTGGGAGGGGGTGTGTGGGTGGTGCCTGGGGCCCGCGTGATGCCACGGACCCCACAGAGGAGGGGACGGGCTTCCAGAACTCCGGAGCTGAGCTCGCAGTGCCCGAGGCCACAGACACACGTGCCTGTGGGCAACTCACCCCGGGCAGTGATCCTGGGCCCCCCCGCTGGCATGTGGCTCAGGGGCTGGGGGGGGGGCGGCTCAGGGGCTGCTGTGGTGGCGGCCCTCACCGTGACCTGGTGCTAAGCGGCCGACATCGGAGTGGCTCTGGGACCTAGGACCAGTCTGCACCGATGCTGCGCCACTCGCCTGGCGATACCCGCCCCCACCCTGGGACGGCCGTCCGGCCACTGCCCCTCCAGCTCTATCCCCTAGGCTCCGTGCTTGGCCTCAGGGTGGGGGCGGCCCCGGCCTGGCAGTGCCGCTCCCCGAAGGCTCTCACGGGCGCCTCTTCCCGTACACAGCACACCCGTGGCCTCGCAGGACCTTCAGGACAGCTGTGTAAATGGAGTGTAGGAGAACACGAGCGTGTGCACATCCTCAACCCTCTCCCGAAGGAATGGACGAAAACAAACAGATCCAGAGGTTTCCCTTGAGGTGCTGGGTGCACAGGTGTTCCCACGCTGCAGTGCTCCCAGAGTGGCCCACCCACCACACAGCTGCTGGCCCCTGGGGAGCCAAGCTCCTGCCACAACACTGCCCTGCAGCCCCTGCGCCCGAGACCCTCCACGTCCTGGGAGGGGGCTCTCCTGCCCTGCGTTGGGCACGGCGTGGCCCCCGTGGGAACACTGAGCCCTCGGGGGACGAAAGGCAAGTGGGTGGGCGGGGCTTCTGGAGTACCGTCCAGAAGGCTGTGAGTGGGCACGGTCCCCCTGTGGCCGACCGTCCCCGGCCGTGTTCCCCACCACCCACCGCCACCCACCCCGGCAGCAGGGCCCAGGCTGGCTCAGGACCTGGCCACGTGGCGGGAGCCTCCCTGTGCAGTGGACACTGGTGCCCGGATGGGGCTCAGACTTGCTGCAGAGCGGTCCAGTCAGCCGGTGCGCCCTGGAGCAGGAGCACGCGCACGAGAGCCGGCCCGGCAGTCAGGTCAGTGCCTCTCATCCCCCTTTCCAGGAGCTGAGCTTGTTACGTCTGCTCCAGCAGCACAGACTTCTTCACTGATTCAGGTGACCAGACAGTTTGCTTCTAGTTAGCACTTGTCAGAGCCGAGCTTTGGGTTTTGGGGAGAAAAAGCCCTCGGTGGGAAATGATCCCCAGAGCCAGGCAGACGTATAGTCTGGAGACGGTCCCAGGTGGGCCGCAGCCTGAGGGGCAGCCAGGGCACGGGCTAACACCCTGCATACCCAAGCGCGCTGCTCGGTCACCGTAGCGACCACGAGCCGAGTGGACCCGCGTTCCTGGCCCGGCTGTGCAGGGTCCTCGGGGGTGCCTTGGAAGGAATCGGGACGGTCGAGGAGGGTCCAGCCTGAGGTGGTGCCCGCGCTACTGACGCTGTCGGGGCTGCCTCCTGGTGGCTTGGGCTGGGGGTGCGGGGCGGGTATGGCGCCCAGCACTCTGCCCACCCCCCCAGGGTGTTCGGAGCAGCGAAGGGGACTCTGACAGTTCCACGGACACACGTCATTGTACCTCTGCCCAAGCCCGGAGGACACAATGTCGGGTGATGGTGAAGAAACCGTACGTCACCTGATGAGGAAGTGTCCACCTGGACTCATTAGTTGTAAGCGATACGTCCCGTGGATGCAAAAGTTCACCACGTGGGGACCCTCTACACCCTGTACTCAGTTTTCCTATAAATCTAAAACTGTCCTAAAAAAGACTATTAAACAGAACAGCTAAAGCATCGGAGGAGCAGGAGCACGCATTCCCCCGCAAGAAACCCTGTGTGCAACCGATGAAGCAGGAGAGGAAAGGGGGTGGTGAGAACAGCTAAAAGGAACAAAAGAAAACGCAAAGCTAGGGAAGTAAGCCCAAAATGGCACTTGAGTCGTGTGCCCCGCCGCCGTGACACGTGGCCCTGTGCCCGGGAAAACCTTTGCTGCTAAGGCAGCCTCGGGAGCAGTGGGAACCCGGCTTCGACACCACTGGGGCCTCCTGCCCTTGCCATGCCCGGCGGGGTGGAAGCTCCCCCACTGATAGCCACGCAGACGCGACCCACGCTGGCAGGTTCATCCCAGGGACCACAGGGACCACAGGGAGTACGCGGTGCAGCAGGCAGTCGCGTGACCGAGGGCGTGGCCGTGGCTCAGCAGGTCAACGCCTTACGGGAGCCCACGTGCTTTCTCGGGCAGGCCGCAGGAAGCCATTTAACTGCGTCACTCACCCCTCAACACTCAACGTACCCAGAGCAGCTGGGGGCAGACAGGCTTGACGGGGTGGCCGCCAACAAACCAACCTGGGCTGCGGGATGTGCATGCTGCAGGAGCCCGGGCACCACCAGGGGCAGACCGGCGGCCGTGAACGTCCACAGAAATGGTGCCCGGCCTGGATCCAGCCCGTGTATGAAACCCCCTCCTGCGCGCACCACCCGGCCACTGCAGGGGTGACCTCTGTGGTCTCGGCCTGGGGACAGTCCATGAAGGCGGGGCCCTTCCCATTGGATCCCACACTGCGCCCCCCGCCGGCAGGCCGTCAACCCCCGCAGCAGCCGACACCACGGCCACGAACACGACAGCACGGTGGGCGAGGAGGCAAGGCAAGAGGGGCTCGCAGGCTGCAGGGTCAGGCCATGCTGGCCTGGGACACGGGCCTCCAGCACACGTACCCGCGGCGGGCTCCCGTCTAATGACACAAACCTAGAAATGCCCCCGGATGCCTGTTGATAGAGTGAGAGAGGAGCCAGCCATAGGGCGTGTGCGTGGAACACGGTCACGGAGGGGGCGTGGCCCAAGCGGAGCGGCCCCACCCCGCCCTGACTGCTCCGTGGACATGGGCTCTGCGGCAACACAGCGGCCCGGCTGCCGGGGAACTGGCTGCAAGGTGCGCGGGCGCCTCGGCCTGAAGGTGTGGGGCTCGCGCTCAGCACATGCTCGCAGTGCAGTTCTCACTGGCGCGCCGCCCCCGTGACCACCCGGACGATGTGGGGAGTTCAAACCCTGACAGTGTTTCTTGGGACCCGAGAAGTAGACCCCGAAGTTCAGGGAAGGGAGAGGCCAGAGATGGTAGCGGCCTGGAGGAGCAGGTGGGGGAGCCTCTGACCCCGGGAGCAGGCCTGGTTCCAGGGACCAAAGCGCTTCCGGTGCAGGACGGGGGCCGATGGTGGCTGCGCACCCCGAGCTGAGCCTCGGGCGGTTGTCCATGCAGAACCACCCCCGCCAGCCCCTTCCTCAGAGACCCGACTCGCCGCAGCTGGACAACTGACACATGAGGAAAGCCCTAGAACCCACCTTGGGGGCTTGCCTGGCGGAAGCGGGGAGGAGCGTGCCCTGGGCCACCCTGTCCTCCCAGCAGACTCTCATCTCGGGGACGCAGGTACAGGGGCGACTCTCAGTTGGCGCGGGCTCACCTGGAACAGGATCTGTAAGGCCCCATGCAGGACGCACATCCGCCGGCCCAGGAAGATGAAGAAGGGCACCACGAGCTCCACGAAGTGGTTGCCGAGTGTCTCCCCACGATGAACCCACCACGGCGACTGGTGCAGGAAGTAGGCCACGGGGTTGGGCACCGGCTGCGTCTGGGGGACAGGAGAAGGCCCGTGAGCCTGGCCGTCCCCCGAGAGCAGGGGGTTTCTGGGGAAGGGGATGTTGGGGAGCATCCCAGCTGGGGGAAGCCAGCCCCGGGGTGGGGAGGGTGGTGCAACCGAGGGTCCCAGATTCCCGGGGTGCACGCTCCTGCCCCTGCCGGGTCTCCTGTGATCCTACACTGACCCCTGGGGACACCCTGAACGTCCTGGGGACCGATGAGCTCGGGTCTGTCCTGGGCAAAGGGATGGCCACGCATTGGGAGGTTTCCGCTGGAAGGCTGGTGGGAGCTGGGGCTCCAGGCCTGTGTGTGTTCCTGGGCGTGTCCCCTGTGCAGGACTCAGCCGTGGAGTTGGCCGCCCTAGGGCCCAGCTGACAGGCCCTGTCCCTCCGATCGCAGGGGCCCCGACCCCCCGGCTCCCCCACCTGGAGGGGAGCGCCCCAGCCCCGCTGCAGCTCCACGGAGTCTACACTGCTGTGGGGGGCGCCCAGCATGGCCCCACCCCCACCCACTGCAAGGCAGGCCCGAGTGGGGAGCCCAGCCCGGGGAGGGGCCTCGCTGCTTTTCTCGCTGCTGTGGGGTCTGAACACAAGCCTCCTCCCGAAGACTCCAACCGCAGTGCGGTCCCCTGCTCCCCAGCATGGCCCGGGTGCTCCCCCCGACAAGGAGGTGCCTGCGCTGCTGTCGTGAGGCAGGGTGGGGACCACTGGTCCAAGCACACGGAGCCTGATGCGGCCGTGCAGGGTGGCGGGAGCGGGTAACGGCACAGGAGTCACGCACAGCACAGCCCATGGCTGACCGTGCGCCCGCTGCCCCGTCAGGACTGGAGGTGGCTCTAGGCGGGACGGCTGCTGCGGAAGGGCCACTGTCCCGGGCAGGAGAGTCCCCGGCCACATCTCACTGGGACGGTTTCTGACCCACAGTAAAGTCACACTAGCAAAGAACATCCCCGGATGCTGCGCTTCATGCCCGTCCTTCCTCTTCCTCCAACGGGAGAGACCAGCGCGTGGCGACCACCGGGGGTGGGGACCCTGGTGACCAGCGGCCTGACCCAGTGTGCTCAGTGAAAGACGCCCCTGGGCCGTGTTGCTTGCAGCCCCCACGATCTCCAGCCGCTCATCTGTCCCGTGTCCCTCCTGGGGGTCCGGGGCACGCGGCCCCACCGGGGCGCCCGCAGAGGTGATGGGCACTGTCCTGGGGGGTGGCGGCCAGCCCTGCCCTGTGCCTTGAGCCTGTGACCTAACCGGCCTCCTACGTTCCAGCGGCCGCTGACGGATGTCACCCGAAGCTGTCCTTCCTTGTCGCTGTGTGTTCACTTGGCGCCACCACAAGGTCACGGAGTCCTCTAGCCCGTGCGTCTGCTCGTGGGCACAACGCTCGGAGTCTTCACCCCCCATAGCACTTCTAGGGGCTCCCCTACCTCCTGACACCGAGGATGCTCCAGGGTCACATGAGCCTCTTCCCACTGCGGCGCGGGGTGCACGTTTCTCTGAGCTCTGGTCCCTGCAGTGGGAGGAAGCCAGCCTGGACCCGAGGGTCACTGTCTCAGGGTCCCTCAGGGGCGGAACACGGCGTGACTGCGGGTCAGCCACCCTGCGCACACGCCAGCCTCGCTCACGGGGCTCTGTGTGCCCCTGGGTTCTGAGCAGCTTCCGCAGCACCAGGTGGCAGGTGGCTGGCTGCTCCCAGTCTGCTGCACTGAGTCCCCCAGCTGGGGTGCCCTGGGTTGGAGCTGTGGCTGCCACTCGGTGGACCAGATGCGCGACGGCAGACACGTGGGCGGAGTGCAGTGCGGGTCCCCGTGGCGCGGCCCACCACTGTCCCAGGGGTCCCCCAGAAGGCAGCCCCCGTCCTACAGCCTGGAGAGTGGGCTGGCCTGAGCGGCCGGCATGCACTGAGATCTTGGTGCTAGCTGCGTGGACGAGGCTCCTGCTGGGCATGGGGGTGTGTCAGGGCTGCCTCACTCACGGCCGCGTGGGTGACGGGAGCGGACACGAGGGCACAGATAAGGACGCGGCGAGAGGATGGGTTTCTCTGGCCTTTGGCGCGGCTGCTCCTCCAGACATCAGTGCCCAGCGGGGGTCACCTGCTCCCCTGGGACTGCGGGTCCCAGCGACGGCCGTCCACCGTCCAGGACTTTGCAGGACGGGCAGGTCCTGCTACTGGACAGCGACTCGCGGTGCTCGCTTGGAGCTGTGGGAGGGAAGCCAAGCTCCTGCCTGGATCCAGCTCCTGTGTCCTTCCTGCTTCCTGCCCAGGAAGCAGGCGTGGGCCCTGGGCTGCACGTGTCTGTGACCTCCGCAACCTCCGCCACTGGCGCCTGGGGCAGGGCTGCCCCCCAGCCGGGGCCTCTTCTCTGGGAGCCTCATCCCTGGGATGAGGAGGCATGGAAGGGACCCGGCATGCAGTGCAGCTGATGCCACCTCCAGGTCTCGCCGCGGGAGCCTGGACGTAAGAGCTGCGACGGCCATGGCTTGGGGCTGAGGACACCAGGGTTTTGGGGAGAAGAAGAGAACCCTAATTTGTAATCTGTGTGGGACAGCTGCGGCCTGCCTTCGCTCACGTGCAAGACGCCGGAGACCTCAGTGGAAGACCCCAGCTGACCGCCAGGGAGCAGCTGGGTGACCGTGGGGGGCCCGGCCAGAGTCCTGGGGTGACGGGCTGTGCCCTCTGCACAGACACGGCCTCGCCGCACCCAGAAGCGAGGGCAGAGGCCTGGTGACTGGCACTCGCCGCCTCCCGTGATGTGCAGGCCTTGGAAGGATGGCCCCACTCGCCAAGGGATTCGCTCCTCCGCACGGCTGGGGGCGGTCCCGAGCCTGGGACAGAGTTTTATTTCTATTTGCGCTGAAGCTGGAAAAAAACACCGGGTCATAAAGCCTGGCTGTAAACCCTGGAAGTGGCGCCTGGAACATCGCACCCCGTAAAGCAGGGAAGGAGCGGCCGGTGCCGCCTCTGGCAGGATGCGCGGCCACGCGCACCATTGCTGCAGCTGCCTGGGGAGTGGGCCCGAGCCTCCCATGCTGGTTCCCCAAAGAGGAGGCGCTTTGAGAACAGACAAACATGAGGAAAACCCGGACGGTGATAAAACCAGTCTCGGGACTGGGGACAGCAGCGTCCCTTCGTGGTGCTTCCAACACCCTGCCTTCCAGGCCTCGGGGACAAGTCTGAGGAGATAGAAATGGCTTTTTCAGCCTTTCCCCACCTCAGCGACTGTAAATTATGTGTTGGAGGTTTTAGCGAGAGGGAACACACGTAGTTCTTGTCTGAAGAACAAGTTCCTGAGCACCGTCTAGCTGCACGTGGAGGGCCAGCGCCTGCCTGCCTTGAAGCCCGGGGGACAGGTCCCCAGAGAAGCCGCTGGGAACGTGCCCCAGATGCCGTCTCCCTCTGGTGTCGGGGGGTTCTTCGCCTGCACGCTGGGGCTGTTGGCAGGCGTCCTGGGACGCGGGCATCTGCCTGCTGGCGGCCCCCTGATGGCCGGGAAGGGGGGACACCGGTCGGGTGAGGGGCTCGGGGTAAGTGGGGCAACTGGCGGCTGGTCTCCCCTGGGCCCTGGGCGGGTGTCGGGGCTGAAGGCTCCGTCCCGGGGGAGGCCAGGCACACACAGCGGCCGTGGTGCCCATCTTGGGGGCTCGGGCCCCCTGATGGCTGCCTGCCCCCTCCCCACCCAGACGACGGGGATGGAGAAAGAAGGGGGGCTGTGAGGGCGGTGGTGCCTGGCCGTGGGGAGGGGTGCATCCGGGGGTGGCCGGGCTAGCACTGCACATTGGCACGGCTGCGGACCAAGAGCCCGCTGGCGGCAAATCCCACAAGAGACGTGCGGAACGCTGCTGGGTGGAGCCAGGTCTGCAGGAGGGGCAGCCCTGGAGCTGGGAGGACGGGGGTGGGGGGCAGGGGGAGGGCAGCGGCGCGGGCCCGGCACGCCTGCGAGGGTCCTCACTCGGAGGGGAGCCGTGACACCCGAAGGACGCCCACCCCCCGGCCTAGAATTCCTGCTAAGAAAAGGAAACTGCTAAGAAGCCGGGAGAAGTAAGAGTCGTAACATTGAAGGAGCCCAGGAGGGGGCAGCGACCCAGGAGGGGGATGGGGGGCAGGGGCCAGGAGGGGGCAGGAACCAGGAGGGGGCAGGGGCCGGGCAGGGGCAGGGGAGACAAGACCAAGCCAAAGAGCACAAGAGACAGGCAGCCAAACGGGGTCTGGGACCACGTTGGAGCGCCCGCGGCAGGTGCTCGCGTCATACCAGCACGGGGCCAGGCTTAGGGGCGCCCGGGGGGCTCCATCACTGAAGTGTCTGCCTCCGGCTCAGGTGGTGATCTCGGGGTCCTGGGGTGGAGCCCCGTGTCGGGCTCCCCGCTCTGCTGCAGGCCCCCGTCGCCCTCTGCCCCCCCACCGTGTGTGCTCACTGATAAAATGTTTAAAAGAAGAGGCAGCATTTGTTAGACTGGATCCGGCAGCAAGACCCGAGTGCTCGCTGCCTGCGACACACGCCCCTCATGCGAGGGTGCACGGGGCCGGGTAGGGCGGGAGATGCGCCCGCCGACGCTGGAATGGCTCTGTGGGCGTCACACGGGCAGACCTCAGGGCGACCAGGACCGGGGACGGGAGACCTCACGGGGGCCGACGGCCCGCCCTGTGGCACAGCGACCTGGGAACGTCACTGCCGCCCTGGACGGTGGCAGGGCCTTCCTGAAGCAGCCCTTGCGCTCGGTGGCCCAGGTAACGGGCAGCAGCAAGTGAGCGCCAAGGGCCAGGTGCTTGCGGACCCTGCCTCACGGGCAGCCCGAGGGGAGACGGGAGCACACCAGTGACGAGGTTCTTGCCCCACGCACGGCCCCGGCCTGGGAGGTCTGCTACGGCATCTGGACTCTGAGGCAGACCCTGCGGACGCCCACCGAGCAGGACACAGTCCCTTCCGGGGCACCCCGGGCCGCGGACGTCACAGGGGATGGGGGGGGGGTCCTGAGCCCCGGGAGCTGCACGTGGGACCTGCCAGACGGCCAGCGCCCCTTGCAGCACGTGCATGTTGGCCACTCGGGAGCAGAAGAGACACGTTTGGTCCCCAGGGGCTGTGAAGGGCACAAGTGCGCATCCTGCCGAACGTGTGGCTTGCGTGGGAATGAGCCTGGCGCGGACGCTGCCGCTGGCCCTGCAGATGTGTGCGGAGCCCACGGGTCCCGTCAGCTGCGTTCACCTGCCTCTGCTGAGCGCCCGGCAGCGAGGCGACCCTGGGGCCACCTCGGGGTTTCACTGTTGACCTGGGGTCACATGCAGAGCGCAGGAACTCGGGGATGAGTGCCCCGCTACCGCCTTCTGAGGGGTGACCAGCTCTGCCGTGGCTGCTCAGGGCCACCTTGAGACCCACGGGGACCGTGGCTCAGCCTGCACGTGCCGTGGTCACCGGCCCCTCCCTTGTCCCCATATGGCACTGCCCCAGCCCCTCTTCTGCGCCGACCCACCGGGTCCGTCGACAGCCGCATCTGGGTGAAGCTGGGGCACAGACAGGGCGACAGGGGTGAGGGTGTCCCGGGAGGCCCTGCTGCCGGGGTCACAGCCGTCGGGCAGCGCGCGAGGCCCAGCTGGAGGCCCCCGTCCACTGCTCATGCTCTGCCCCGGCGGGTCCCTCCTCTGAGGCTCCTGCCAGCGGTGCCACCACTGTGGGGGACACAGGCCGCGTGGCCCCAATCCGTGCTCCCAGCCCCGCCCCCGCCCCCCCCTCACCCCAAGCCGGTTTATGGGGCGGGTGGGAGTGAGGTCCACTGAGGGGACGCTTCTCCTTTCCAGGGTCTGGATGGTTCCATTCCTCCAAGGACCTGATGTGGGCCCCACGGCAGCCCCGTGCTCGCGCCCTGGATCCCACGTGGTCAGTGAACCATTGGCAGTCCGAGCACACCGAGTCCAGGGGCCTGGGGCGCTCCCACCAGCCTCACAGGCGGCTGCCCCCCCCCACTCCCAGGACACGGTCACACGTCCACATCCACCCAAACTGCAGGAAGCCGGCGCCCAACTCAAACCCTCTCCCCTGGCACTGTGTGGGCCCACCTGGCGCCCCCGCGGGCCGAGGCCCCGAGGACGCCCCTGCTCGAGCCCTGGCGGCCAGGCTGCTGCCCGCGGGCGGCTGCGTGGCCAGTGGAAGGAGCTCAGGGGGGCCCGGGAGGGCCACTTGGCTGAGCCCTGGGGCCCCGCAGTCCCTTCGCTCTCTGGCACCTTTCAGGGAATCGGCTACAGGCCCGAGGGAGGGACTCCCGGGCCCTTGGGCAGGAAGGGAGGGCAGTCGGTGCGACTCCACATCTCAGGTGTGACGTCCCCGCCGGGGCGGGCGCCCAGATGACATGTCTGCCCCTGCTCGGCCTGAAGAGCCCAGGAGCTCTGTGCGCAGCCCCAGCCCCACCGCTCGGCCCGGGTGCCACGCAGCTCACCTCGTAGTGGAAGTCCATGCAGGTGAGGTCCCGCCAGCACTGGTCTCCCCGGATCTTGATCAGGCCCTGCCGAGGCAAGACACACAGGCGGGCCGTGAGCCGCCGGAGCAGCAGCCGTCCCGGGGGGTGCCAGCCGGGGGGACCCGGGGAAGCCTCGGGGGCCACGGCGTCTCCTGCCTGACACACAGCAGTGCTAAGGCGTCAGCGCAGCTGTAGTGGTGCCACGTTCAGGGCCCGACAGCTGAGCCAGAACCCACAGGCCCGGGAAGCCCGGGTTTCCTGAGCAGCCTGGCTGCGCCGCCCCCGCGGGCCCTGGGGTTCCGCCCCGAGTCCTCCCTGCGGGACGTGGTCGGCTTCTGTGATGCGGGCTCTGCAGCTCTGGGCCGCGCCCACCCCCCCCCCGCGCCCCCCAGTCCCAGTCGGCAGGGGAGGCGCCGCCTTGGTTGGGGTGGCGGGCGTGAGGAAGGGACCGGGCGCAGAGGCCGCCACTGGGGGAAGAGTGGACCGCGGATGCCCCGCAACGGAGCCAGACTCTAGACACCAGTCACGAGGGGTGGGGACGGGCCGGTGGAGGCGGCGCTGCCCTGGGCTCCAGGGAGCCGCCTCCATGTGACCACGTGCTTTGATCAGAATGTGGAGCCGTCGCGGCAGTGTCGAGTGGCGTGTGTGCTTGCGTGACTGGGGTCGCGGCCCCGCTGGCTGACCGTAAAACCTTCACTCGGGGCAGGACCTTGGGTGGTGAGGCTCTGCGCTGGGACGGGACGGTCCCGGTCCGCAGGCCTCTGTGGCCGTCCACGCAGCAGTCGGGGCGTGGGATGCGGAGCCCACCAATGCGTCGTGCACGAGTGGGTGCGGGGGCACTTCTGGTTCGGTGGGTCCCGTGGACACAGCAGCCCTCAGACGACATGGACAAGGAGTGACAGTCCCAGCGACGCGGGCAGCCCGAGGCCCCCACGGGCCGAGGGAAGATGCTCCCGCCGTGCAGATGTGTCCCGGGGGCTCCTAGGGCTCCGCTGCCCCGAGCCCCGACCCTCTGACGGGGTCGCCGTCTCAGCGCCAGCTCTGGGATCGTGCACCCGCCGTGCCCCCCGGCCACCCCCACCCCGGCACCCGGTGTCTTGGGGCGTGCACACCCCAACGCAGAGCCACGCCCCAGGCACCTGGCCAGTGCAGCTTGAAGAGCGGAGGCCCATCTTTCTGGAAAGTGGCTGCGGTCGCAGCAGTGCCAGCCCCAGGCGCCTTGGCGGCCCCCTGCACCCGTGGCCCAGAGCCGGGGAGCAGGCCAGCCGGGAGCGCAGCCCCGTCACGCGACAGCCCCATGAGCACGGCCTGCTCCCCACACCCTGCAGAATCCGGATGGGGCTCTTCAGAGACGCTCACCAGGCAGAGGAGAAAAAAAACAAAATAATTAAAATGTCATTCAAGTTCTAAGCTGATACGAGACACTGAAAGATCTGAGACGTTCTTCCGGGAGCGGAGAGTAATTATATTCCTCCCTCCTGACTCGTCCCCATAGTGCACATGTCACATCTTCCACGGATTCCTCCTTCCTGAGTGAGCGTCAAAGGAACAAAGACTCCTGCCAGCCTCTTCAGCCCCCAATTAATTCTGAAGAAAACGGCTCAGACCCGAAGGGCCCGGGACCCGCAGCCACCCACCGCTGCCCTCGGGATGCCAGGGGTGCATGGCCGCTCCGTGCCCAGCTGTGCTCGGCCGCTCCATGCCCAGTGGTCCTCGCGGGGGCACCCACCCATGGAGCACCCCCTCCTGCGCGACCTGGCGCCCGCGGATAGCGCCGCTCCATCTCCAACAGCCTGGGAGGCCTCCGTGACCCCAGGCGGGGCACACTTGCGAGGTCCCCGGCGTGGAGGGTGTGCCGCTCCCCCCGTGGGCAGGCCTGCGGTGTGGGTGCCACTCGGGCCTCCTGCATCCCTCTTGGGCTGGGCGGGGCCCGCAGGACCCGGGTGTCCCTGAGCAGGGACTCGGGGGATCGCTATACGTCGGGAGCATTTGAGGTTCACCCCGCGTGCCCCCTACTTGACACTGGGGCCCATCTCAGGACTGCCCTGTCCCCACGTCACTGTCCCCCTGGGTCCCAGAGGCCTCTGTCCACGGCCGTGCCAGGGCCACAGGGAGCAGGAGGGGGCACAGGCCCTCGCCAGCAGGAGGACTCAATGCCCCTTTAAGCCCAGACTGTGAGGGGAGCATCTGGACATGGAGGCCGAGAGGGGCCGCACGGGGCTGCAGCTCAGGCCGGAGGTCAGAGGCCGGAGGTCGGAGGACCACAGACCGTACTTCCCAGAAGCCCCCGTGACGCCTCGGAGCTGGAGTCAGGTCTGCCGTCCTGGGCGTGCCTGTGGGAAAGCCTGATGCTCCTCCATCCGTGCGACTGCGACTGAGTGGACTGGATGTGAGGGGCCCCGGGACCCCATGGCACCCACTTGGCTTTGGCCCTCGCGGGGGTGCACCGCATTCCCACGTTGCCGTCGTGACGGGTGACATGGTTCCACTGGGGGCATCCGGTCTGGGGAAGGGCCCTGACTTCAAGGACTCTGCTCCGAGAGCCCATTGCCCTGTAGGCCCCAGGCCCCCTCCTGCCCCCCGCGGTGTTGGCCACGGTCCAACCTCCACAGGGCCGGAGCCCCCATGGGACCCACGCTCTGGAGTGGAGCGTGAACACGGAGGCGGCCCTGGAGATGAGTCTGGCTTTTTTGTCAAGGCGGCCGCCAGGCCTCGGAAGGGAAGAGGGGAACCGCACACAGCCCAGTGCGCTCCCGGCTGTGGCCCCACCTCCGCTGGAACCTTCCTCGCGGGAGGGGGAGTCTCCCCGTGGAGAAGAGGTGTGGCCCGGCCCTACCAGCAAGCGTCAGAGCCTCGCGGGACAGCACCCCGACGCGCATGGGTCAGGCCGTGAGGAACACGCTTCTGCCCACGCTGCCCGGGCCCGGGGTGCCGACGACCTCCTGGTGCCCCCCAGGTGGGCGCCATCTCGGGGCTGCGTCCTACGGCAAGGGGGCGTGTCAGAAGTCACCCTGCGAGCCGTGCTCCCCAAGGCTGGGCTGGCTTACACTAAACACACACACTGCCTAAGTGCTCTGACGGCCGCACACGAGCAGGTTCCTGTCACCCGGAATGGGATGCAGGTGTGCCCCCCACAGAACATCCTCCGGACGCCTTCCAGACTATTCCATGCCCTGCTCACAGGAGGCCCTGCCTGCTGGACGCTGCTCTCTGTTCCGGGCCTGGCGGGCTGCACTCCACGCGTTTGGGGTTCGGGGTTCGGACGCGCCTCCGTTACACTCCGTGGATGGACGCGGAGCTGTTCTACGTGGGCCAGGGTCTCCTTCCACGCAGGCCCACGGGGTGGGGGAGGCCAGCTCACACGGCAGGCATGCACCCTGCCTGGTGGGGGCCTGCACCCCTGCCCCCGCCCCTCTGGGCTCGTCGGGTCTCCTCCGCGTGTGCTCAGCTGTGTGTCCGCCTTCCCGCTGCGGTGGTCTGTCCAGGACATGGGGTTGGGCCCGGGCACTGTGGGGGTTTCTCCCGGCACTGGCTTCCCCGCTCGTTCTCAGTGCTGGGTTTTCATAATGCAAATTTTAGCAGCATCAAATGAAGTATGTTTAGCAAAAATTACTTTTAATGCTACAGCTGAAGAAATGTGTGCCCACTGCACGGTAACCGTGTTGTCTGCAGGAACCTTTATGTTCTTGGCTTTTACATTTGTGAGCCCCGGGGACCTCGTGCCTGGGCTGGAGGGTCGACCGTACCCATGTGGCTGGGCTTCCGCGAGGTACCGCCGGGTGTCCTTCCACGCTTTGGCCCACGGTCCACCTGGTGGCAGAGTTTGCTCTGATTCCCCACACTTCAGCATCTCTGGTTAAGAGGGGGCCCCTGGTCGAGTGCCAGCCGACAGGGGAGCTATGGCCCATTTCTGGGCACTCGGCTCTGGGTCCATTTTTCTAGCACAGGTCAACGCCACGCTTCATTTTAAATTAAGCTGTAAAATCAGGCAGTTTGTGTCCCAGCTTTGTTCTTTTTCAAGATTCTCTGTTTTCCCTCGTGCGTGTTACAGTGAGCATGTTAACTTCTCCCAGTAGCCCACTGGGACTTTGACGGGAACTGCCCTGACTCTGCACTAAGCTTGGGTGAAACAGGTGTGGCGCGCAGGGCAGGTCAGGCTCGGGCCGCCATACCTGCACTTGCTGCGCGTGGGCAGTCGACGTCCGCAGCCAGGCTCCTGCAGGCACGGAAGGCTCTCCTGGCGGCGGAGGGCAGTACTTTCAAGGCCTTGTCTTCTGATGATCTCTTCAGAGCATACGAAGTACGACCGGCTTCACCCCACCCTTGTGTCCTGCAGCCTCATGAAGCTCGTGTGCTCGTTTCACTAGTTGCTTTTCACGTTCCGCCAGGTTTTCTGCGTCTCTAATCGCGTGTGTGAACAACAGTGTCCTCGTTACCCTTCCAAGCTTTGTGCTGCTGCTTTCTTTCTCCAGCCTTCTGCAGCGAGGCTTCCAACACGACGCTCCCGTCCCCAGAAGCGAGGCCGGGCTGGCTGTCACGAGGGAGTCCCCCCGCCATCACACAAGGTTGTCAAACTGTCGCGTGTGCTGCCCCTGCACCTGCTGCTTTCCTGTCACTGTTGTGAGCTGCGTTCCTTTTTTCAAATGTTAAACCAACCTTGCATTCCTGAAATAGACGGAGCCTTTTTTTGTTGCTGGATTTGATTTGCTGATGTTTTGCGAAGAGTGTCTGTGCCTTTGCTCCTGGGCGATGCTGGTCTCTCTTCCCCTTCTGTAATGACCTCGTCAGGTCTGGTTTCACAATCACATCAAAACCCCCTGGGAAGTGTTCCCGCCTCCGCCGGTCCCCAACAGTCTGGTGGGGGGGGGAGGGGTGCCATCCGTCTGCTAGATTCTGCTGGGAGGCCGTCTGGGCCCACACTTCTGTCTGGAAGGGTTTTGATTACAGGTCCAATGTATTTAACAGACACGGAGCTATGTCGGTTTCCTGTTTCCTCCTCAGTTTTGGGATGCTGCATTTGTGAAGGAATCTGTCCGTGTCATCTA